TTGCGGGCCTCTGAAAACTGCCCCCCCCCCCCCCAATTGACTTGGGAAAGCCACTGCCACAAGATGTGGGTGGGAAGTTTGGGGGGGGGCACTCGTAGAGATGAAATATATTGTGAACGTAATCAAGTTTGCGTTCAGGGACACTGAACCTCTTAATATTAAATGCTGTTGAGAGAATGGGGGAGGGCAAACAGCTCTTTGAGCTTCCAGATGCCTCTGGAAGGCTGCAGTTGGGAACAGAATGCTAGCTGCTAGCTAAGAACCTTGAATCTGGTCCAGCGAGGCCATACATATTGATGCTCTCTAGTGTGTGCCTAAAATTAAAAACAACATACAAACCTGACTTACCCAAACTTTCCAAGGAGATATAAGGCCATTGTTCACATTAGTGTTTGTCAGTCATTGTCATGATTTAATTTTATGGATACTTTGGACATATAGAGAGGAAGAACGAAAGGAGACGAAACAAGTATACAGGACGAGTGTGGATGGGAGAGTTGGAAGGGGTCGACCTCAGTGAACGTACCTCAATCAGACTGAGGACATTTTTAGCAAAGGCCAGTTTAGGAGTACCCTAATTAAGTTAATAACAATGGACCTACCTATATAGTTTAAGTTTTAAAAATTTGGCTCTCAAAATATATTTCAATCGTTGTACTGTTGATATTTGGCACTCTTGACTAATGAGTTTGCCCACCACTGCCCAAGTTGTGTTGCAATGCTACAGTGTGGTTTGATGGGGAAAGGCATGGAAAATCTTTAACAGGCTAAAAAGAAGAAGGGAAGTGACATGAGACGGCAAGCTGCCCTGTGCCATTTTGAAAGCAGAGTGTGAAGAGAAACCCACTAACAGAAAGCAGAATGTGAAGAGAAACCCACTAACACATGCAATACCTGTGAATGGGGCTGTGTGCGTGTTCTGCGTATTCATGTGCACCCCCATTCCCTGCTGCGGCCATAAGAGGAGTATCCAAATGGATGCCCCACCTCCAGCTACACACGCTGCAGTGCCTTTATTTTGGAGGATTTTTTTTTTTTAATTTTTTTTTCTAGAGTAGAAATAGTAACACAGGAGACAAACAAGTAGTGCACAAATTGGGCATGACGTCGGAAAGCTCCCGTTTACTGAGGGGGCTTCCCATTGCCCATGTGGAAGCAGCCCCACCCCCAACTCAAAGTGCATGCTCTTTCTCTCTTTGTCTCACACATACTTCCCCCACCCTTCCCATCCTTAATCCAGGGATTACATACTTAAAACCTTTTGTTGCCCTGCCTTTCATTACCAAAACATTTCCCAGGTAATCTCCAAAAAGCATCAAAATATCATAAAACAGATTCAACAAAAAACACCATAAAACATTATCCATGTTCAAACAAACAGAAGCACAGGGTTATCATAAGAAGAAGAAGAGAAGAGATTGGATTTATACCCCGTCCTTCACTACCCAAAGGTGTCTCAGAGCGGCTTACAAACTCCTTTCCCTTCCCCTCCCCACAACAGACACCCTGTGAGGTAGGTGGGGCTGAGAGAGCTCTTGACAGAAACTGCTCTTTTTCAAGAACAGCTGTTATCAGAGCTATGGTTTGCCCAAGGTCATCCAGCCAGGTGCAAGTGGAGGAGTGGGGAATCAAACCCGGTTCTCCCAGATTGGAGTCCGTGCACTTAACCACTACACCAAACTGGGTTACTACTGTATGCACAGAGCTCTAAGAAGATAGGAACTTGCACCTATGTAAACACCAGGCATCATATGCTATTCTTGCTTCAATAAATCAACTTTGACTAAACATGATCACAACACACTGTCTAAGAAGATGTCTGTTTAGTTCCCTGAAAAGCGGCAGCAGTGGTGTCAGAATCGACTGAGTGAGAGAAGCATTTGATTGATTTGTCAGTGCACGCCTCTGAGCATCTCCGATAATCATTAGTGCTCCATATGGAACAGCAGCACTGCTGACAGAGAGGAGTTAACACAAGACAATGGCGACGCGCTAGGAAACCTCGTGGTGACGCACTTTCTCTCCAGAAACAGAAGCACCACTCCGCAGTGGAGACGCGTCCATCCTTATAGGTGTCGCAGGAGTTGAAGAAAGGCCGGATGCAAATCTCGTACTTGTCCAGGTTGATGGCTGCCAGCTCTGTCTGGTCCAGGAAAAGGTCCCCGTTGGTGTCCAGTTTGGAAAACATCCAGCCAATGGAGTCCTTGCAACTGGCTACCAGGCTCTTGTCCAGCACTGCAAACAGATGGTATAACAAAGGGAAAGAAAAAAGGAGACACATCAAAAGGGTGCTTTTGTTCTTTCCAGCAAAGGCTGGCAGAATAATAACAGCCGTCACATTCTGAAATGTCATTGTCGTAGAATTTACAAAATCCAGCATCTGGAGATTTTAGCCTTCATTTTGGAAAGAAGCAATCTAGCCGTCAGTCTTCAAGTCTGGATGAAGATAAGTCTCAAAATAAATGGGCAAAATGTGCACGAACCTTTCAGCAGCTGAATGGGAGAGATGAACAGAAACAGGACTTCTTGAGAGACAATGGGTGTGCCTTGCCACTCACCATGGCTGCAGTGTTCCCTCTAAGCTGAGTTAGTGTGAGCTAGCTCACAGTTTTTTAGCCTCCGGCTCACACATTTTTGTCTCAGCTCAAGGAGGATGGCTCCAGAGCAAACTAATTTATGCAGTAGCCAAATCACTCGCTCACAACTTTAATGCCAGTAGCTCACAAAGTAGAATTTTTGCTCACGGGACTCCACAGCTTAGAGTGAGCATTGGCTGCATGCACAAAGTGTTGAATGTTGTGCTAACAGAAATCACTGGCAGCTGCACTGCCTTATCCACACAGGGAAATCCGTTTGCAAATGACTTTGATAAGTGCAGCAACAGCACAACATTCAAGGGTTTGTGCATGGAGTCCCAGACAAGACAAAGCCATATGCATTTGCACAATTCATACAGGTCCCTGGAATTGGCTATCCTCAGTGCAGAATTTTTTAAAAATACAGCTTATATAACAGTTCAAAGTATAATCCACTGGAAAAGGTGACCCCGACACAAGCTGCAGCAGGATTCAGAAGCTGAAACAAACAGTATGAACATGGCTCAGAAATTCTGCCATCAGAGTCCTACAAACAGAATGCATTATGCATGTATTCAGAGGCTGAAGTCAAGAAGTGGAGGCCCTGGCCAAATCCAGTTCCCCTGCAGGGATGCATCATGGCCCATTGCTCCAGTTTTGGAAGCTGAGGGAGGAAAGCTCACAGAGAAGGGTGGCAGAGAAGTCTCGGTGTGAAACCTAAGTGCTGCTGATTTCATCCAGCGCAATCCCTCTGGAAGAAGCATTCAGCTCAGACGTTTCTGCTCACTGACATTTAAACTAATGATCTTCTTCCTGACTGATCACACTTGGGACCAATCTGCCGACTCTGCTCAGGGACTGGTGGCTTATTTTAGTGTGCAAAAATGTTTGCAAGCGCTCACACTGCTACAGGCAAAGTGGATGGACCACACAGAAAGCTCTCCTTAGTCCATCTGACCCATGAGTAAGCATGTGCCTGCCCTGCTTTGATGGGAAAATGCTTATGGGCCAGTCACAATCCTCTGACAACTTCCAAAACATTCCACAACTCATCTCCACCTGGCTGAAACACATTACTTTGTCTTTAAAACCCATGAGAGGCCAGCAAATAGTACATACAAAATCCACTTTAACGCTCTTGATCCCAATGGATTAAAGTGACTCTGGCTCAAAAATTCTTTAATGCCATATAAAGGCACACAGTCACATGACAGATCAAGCAAGTGCCCAAATGCAGCTTCTTCCAGGGTAGGAACTTGGAAGGCACCACTGAGCCAAAGCACAACCATTTAAGACTCGCAAGGGAAAATAAAAGCCGGAATGGAGATTGGCAGAACGGGCACAAGCTGTGCAAACTCCATTGAGATAAATGAGTCTTGTGCAAGAGAGAGAGCAGCTGGGCTCTCTCTCTCGCCAATTCATTTCAACAGGGCCGTCTGTCTCTAAGAGACTTGTCAGAATAAGCTGCTGAGTCAGGGTTCCCCACTTAGCACGTGATATATACAGCTTATCCCATACTGCTGTTTGGATTTCATTCCTTCTTAGTGCAAAACCTATTCCTATCCTTCATGCACCTCTGACCAATAACACCTCAAGTACTCCTATCGTACTTGTGGGCCTACTTTCTGGAGGATAACACGGGCTCATCTGCACAGGTGCACTGAAAGCAGTAGAGATTTTGACCTTCCCTTGCGGAACACTTTGCTGTATGCGTGAAAATCCTTTCTCAGTGCCGCCTGCCTTTTCCAGAATGCCTATGACTTTATCCCGCAAACTTTGTTTCAGCAGGGGGAGAGGACTGAGCATGAGCCCCCACAGTCTCTCTCTCACACAAATCGTCTGAGCCACCCCTACTTTCCTATGCCTTCCCGACTCTCAGAACATGCCCTTTGGCCTTTAGTCTCTGCCATTTCATTTGCCATCATACACTGATCTCACCAAATAAATAATAACCCTGCCTTATAGCAAGAGGTTGGATTTGATGACCCTTCCCCAGCCTTGTGAGTTCCAGGGTTCACCCTAAGGTGCACTAGCCTGCGCCAGCGCAGAGATTTTCACACACATCCCTGGAGCACAGATTTTCATCTCAGCACAGGGGTCCAAGTAGTGGGCAACCCTGCCCTCCTGCTTAGCTCCCCACCTGCATTGTAAAGGGCGCCCACTCCCGGCAGCCCTCCTTCTGGCTGAGTGGTGTGAGCTGGGATCTGCTGCCCTGCCAACCGAGGTACCACCGCTGCCACCGCCAAAGCCCAAGCCACTTTCCCACTGCTGCGCCCAGCTATCCTGCAGCAGCCAGTGAGTCAACACGTCTGATGTCCTTGGCTGGCAACGCAGCCCGGCGCTCCTCCCTGGGACTCCCACTGCCATCAGGCTCCTCGCTGGGAGGACAGAGGTCTGGGCCAGAGGCAGAGGAGCCAGGCTCTGAGTGCTGGTGGGTGGGTTCATGCCTCATGGGGTGGTTTGGTGCCATGCCACCCTGCCCAAGCCCAGGTCACGTTCTGGAACCATCAGGGGGGCATATTGCTCCAGCGGCATAAAAGAACCTGGGCTTGCTTTCTCCTGCCCAGGCTGCACATCCACCTCCCCTCCAATGGCCTTCTTCTGGGAACACAGCCCATGGCTCCTATGAGGGCCTCCTGCCACCAGCACCATGGGGTACTTCATGGGCCCCTCTATGGCAGGGAAGGAGGTCCGGGGGCCCAGGCTGTGTGTCCACCTCCCCCCTTCAAAGGCCTTCTTCTGGGAACATGGCCTGTGGCTCCTCGACGGCCTCCCGCCTCCAGTGCCATGGGGCCCCTCTCTTTCTTTCTTCTCTCAGTCCTCCTTATCTATTTGCTTTCTTTCCACCTCTCCCCTTCCCTCCTTCCTTCCTTCCTTCCTTCCAACCAAAATGTAGGCTCGCTCACAACTTCAATCCTAGCAGGTCTTTTGGTTCACGAAGTAGAATTTTGGCTCACGAGACTCCACAGCTTAGAGGGAACAGATCACAAGATGGAATAGTGAACCTAGGAGAGGAGATATGCCAAGATCTCCCCCATACAGAGCATTGCAGTGATCAGGGGACCACCAGGGCATGGCTCCTACACATAAGCCCTGCCCTTAAAAGCAGAGCAACAGCCGTGTCACTTCGAAGATCAAAACCTTGGGCCAGTCCTGTCCTGGATAGCCCAGGCAAGCCCGATCTCATCAAATCTCTGAAGCTAAGCAGAAGCTAAGGGGAAGAAACTAGAGGCCAACTGAAATGACTATTTTAGGCTACTTCCATACTGGGGTTTTTCTCCATCCTGGCTCCTGAAGTTCAGCACTTTTTTGACAGGCTGGGGTGAGGGAAGCAGACACATAACCTTGTCCTCTATGCATCCTTTTTTCTTATCCTCGGAATGCTCTTTCCCAAACTTGCTTTGCTCTGATCTTTTCAGAAAGAGCTTGATCCAAGCACATTATTATGTCGGCGGGGGGGGGGGGGGGGACGACTATGCTTTTTCTTGCCCTGTAGCAGTCCCATGCACTCTGGCGTCATTTTCCTGCCATAAGACCCTCACAGCTGACATTTTCCCTGACATACCACCAGACGGCTTTCTGAAGGCATCTTTAAAAAAATTGCCACTTGCTATAGCACTAACCCCCTCCAAAGTCCTCTGGTGGTGGAGCAAGGAAAAAAGGAGGGGAAAGGGCAGCTACAGGAGGAGAATGCAGGTCTATGCACTTGTGACAGTGATCAAAGCAAAAGCAGAGAACCATTGCTGTGCGGAAGGAGCATTCGACATGGTGGTTTCATGGTAAAGACAACTGCCACAAGTGTTTTCTAGCACAGTGAATGGCCTTATGAAACTTGTTGCTGCAGTTCAGTGACTCCTAGAAAAACCTAGAAAGTGATGGGTAAAACTTGGTTCCTTGACAGTAAAACATTCCATATATGCCTCAGTTCTCCCATCTCATGAATCCAAAATCATTCTCCCGCAGGAGTGCTTGAACTCTGCCCACCTAATTCAGTTTTTATGTTCAACAATCCAAGTTCATACCTGTATGGGGGTCCTTGCAATGAAAATCAGTTCACACCACCAGCAACCACTGCCCTACATCTAAATGAGAAGTGAGTCCCTGTGGATTTACTGACAGCAACTGGTTTATAACCTCAGCGTATTTCCAGACACACCAAAAACGACACTCACAAGGGATGACCCTGCATACAGAAGTAGTTGTGTGAATGAACTCTCTTACCACCCTATTAAAAAAGGCAACCCTGCAATGACTTCTCAACATTGATGGGAACACTGAGGAATTGTCCTTTGCTGTTGAAATTACACACCGTTATCCCTTGTCATTTAGATCTGTATCAAAGGGCCTGGTCTTCCTGGTTTATTGCAGGGGGAAAGGAGAGGCTAAGTCAAACTACACTGTCAAATGATAACATATTTGAAGTACTGTGTGCACTGGCCCATCAGCTAAGATCATGCACGGGAGCCCTGTATGCTGCCACTTTCATAGGTGAATGAATGTCAACCAGAGGCAGGTCCTTCTCTGTAGTGGCACCTTAACCTTGGAACTTGATCAGTGCCAAGGTTGCTGAGTTTTAGGTGCCAAGTAAAACTTGTTTTCTCAGGCATTTTGCTGATGTGCATATTCCCCCTTCCCTTTGAATTGTTAGGTTTTAATATTCTGGCTCATGAGTTTTACTGCCCTGTTTTTATACACTATTTGATACCTTGGTTTCCTTGTCTGGTTGCTGTCTCCTAGCCTTTCCATTCCCTTAGGAAGAACAGAGATGGGGGTACAAACATTAGTAAACTAACTGTGCAGAGATTCCTCCTGGGGATTATACGGCTCCACGGCAGTCTTTCTGTGGCCGTGCAACAGATGTAGTGTAGACGTATATGCATGTGTATACAACAAGGGAAGGAGTCTGCATACCATTCACTGGACTGGCCCCTGTGCTCCCAGAGCTGTTCTGCTTGGCATTCTCATGAAGCAGCTGGAACCAGTCACGTAGCCGATCACCCAGGTCTGCCAAGTCTTGGCCAGTGCAGGTCTCTGAAAAATCAAATGCTATTAACTGAGTATGGACAGAAAGAACTGAGGTATGAAGAGATGGAAAGTGGAGTCATGGTAGGAAGCAGGTGTGCTCTGTGTATGGGGTACAATACAGGCATCTTGGGGTTATTCCATAATATTTTAACTCTTTG